AAAAAAAAAATCCTCTCAGGTCAGGTCTCCTACATAGCATTACGTCACAATTGATTTTTCACTTCACAGAGGGTCATTTTTTGTTTTTATCGTCAAGTTCATCGACAGGCTTCCAAAACTCAACGAAAATTTAAAGCACCGAGGAAAAAAAAATTCTTCTGCCACGTATTTTGATAAAAATGTTATTTCTCCGTAAGATTTCGAGTAGGTATTGATAATAATTTTGCTCCCTAGAGAGATTATGCTGATTGCCTTGAATTAATTCCTGAAAACCCCATTTAAAAATAACTAATAATAATGACTAGAGTTTTTTAGAATTTATTTTTCCATTCCGAGTATTTAAATCTGAATACAGAATTCATTCACCCCGCGAGTGGTGGGGTATTCCCATGATTATTATTAGACTAGATTAGACTTCGACATTGATTTAGAGATGAACGTATCAGTGGAGTCTCTCCAAGAAATAAAAAAAACCAATCGTACAAAAATAAATAAATCCCCTAAAACGCAATAGAATACTGAATTAGCGAATGAGAGATAAATATTGAGTGCCTAAACTAAAAAGCTGCCCACTCTGTTTATTTTTTTACCAGGAAATCTGCTGGTGATTCTGGTAGTGATGTACTCCAGACGAATGCAGGGAATAACGAATTTTTTCCTGGCAAATTTGGCCCTGGCAGACTTGTGCGTTGGTATATTCTGCGTCTACCAGACACTGATAAATTACTTGATGAACTGCTGGAGGCTGGGTGATTTCCTCTGCAAGACGTATATGTTTGTACCAGCGCTGTCGTACACCGCCAGCATAATGATCCTTGTCTTGGTCTGCGTGGAGCGATATCTAGCCATCATTCACCCCATAAAGTGCAGATCAATGCTCACGAGAGGTAGGCTGAGGGCTATAGTAGCTGTTGTCTGGATATTAGCAGCTATTTATGCATCACCAAGATTCATCTACGTGGAGACGTACCACCACGAGCTCAAATCTGGAAGTCTCGACATCATCTGCATGGCCAACATGAAGAAGCACAACAGAAATGTCCTCGACTTTGTCAATCTCATCCTCCTTTATCTTATTCCTCTGTTTCTTATGTGCTGTCTGTACACGAGAATTGCTATTGGCCTTTGGAAAAGTAGTACTGCTTTCAGTGGACCTGGACTCGTCGCCAGGACGAGGAATGGAAGGGTCCAACATGTTCACGCTTCCAGTAAAAATGTTCTCAAAGCTAGGAGAGGCGTTATCAGGTGAGCATTATCATAACGTAATCTCCTCCCGAGAGCTTCGGTAAATCCTCACGGAAAATTCTTTTCCGGTTTGAAGTGTGAAATTCTACTCGAGAATATCGAAAAATTAAAAAATTAATAAAACAACCGTATAATTAGAAAATTATAAAAAGAGTTTCCGAAACAAATTTTTGAAAAACTTTCCAAAACATTCCCCAAAAATAGGATGATTTTATTTCCCCATTTTTTTTGTTTCAAAAAAAAAAATTCTGAAAAGTTTTCTCGAAATTTTTTGAAAATTCGGAATAAATATTCCGATTACAATTTTTTTTACCCGAAAAATTCGTCGCTTAGGAGTTAATTATCTGGAGGAGAACAAAGAATTCTCTTTTAAATAGCAATAAATAATAATAAATAACAATAAATAATAATAAATAACAATAAATAATAATAAATAACAATAAATAATGATAAATAATATCATGAATATGCGTCAAAGAATATTTTCTCTTGTTGAATTGCAGAATGCTGATAGCAGTGGTGGTGATGTTCGCAGTTTGCAATTTTCCTCAACAAGCTCGTCTGCTATGGCGCCATTGGGATTCAGGTTACGAAAGTAACTCCCACTTCAGTACAATTCTAACAGTATCAACATTTCTCCTGTCCTACCT